TATTTGCTTTGTGATAATTGGATTATCTTTCTTTCCCTATCTTTCTTTCCCTGTCAGGTTTGGTTTCCTCCTCCCTTTCTTTACCTCTTTGCCTTTTGGCTGCGTGCAAGTGGGTCCTTGTGACACACGGGGATGGGGGCAGCCAGCACTCAACCTGTCATCCACGTGGCTGGCCTTGTACGTAAGGAATATGAACAGGTGGAGCTTTCCTTACCTCTTCCCCCTCCCCCTTTTATCCTTTTCCTTTTTTCTTTCCCCTTTTTTGCGCTCTGATTCACAATGTGACAATATATATCACACTGAATCAGAGCGCGAAGGCGAAAAACAAAAGACAAAACAAGAAAAGGAAAAGAAGGAAGGAAGGAAGGAAAGCCCCAACTGTTCATGACGTCTTACGTACAAGGGCAGCCACGTGGATGACAGGTTGAGCGCTGGCTGCCCAGCCCCCATCCCCGTGTTGCACAAGGACCCCCACTTGCACGCAGTCAAAAGGCAAAGAGGTAAAGAAAAGGAGGAAACCAAACCTGACAAGGAAGAGGAAGCGTATCAGTCAAACAAAGCAAATGACACATCCCACAGATAATCCAATTGCCACAAAGCAAATAACACATCCCACAGATCAACATTTTTTTTTTCGTATTTTCTTATTTATTTTCTTATTTATTTATACATATAAACCAGAAGAGAACCAAGATTTGGTATCTCCAAAAGATTCCGTTATGGTAATTATAGGGTTAGTTAAAGTTGATTGAATATGAGCAATAAATACTATGTTTCGTTTGCATTTTATACTTACATATCGTCAAACAGAGCTGCCTGTGACAAACTGTTTCGTCGGAGTGTCACCTACCTACTCATCATCAGGAGGCTGACCCCTCAAAAACAGGCTGCAGAATCCCCTACCTAACTGATTACACTGTAAGTGATAGAGATAATCCACCTTAACTTAACCCCATTCGGTTGTGGTTGAGCATCAACGACTGCCGGACAACCGATACCTTGAGGGGTGGGGACCACCACCCACAGCCCTCAAGGTACCCCGTGACGAAAATCAAAGCAGACTATTACTCACCCACACCAGATGGAAAACTCTACAGACTGTGGGTTCACACCCCCCCATCACAAACAAGCCAGCAAAACACCCACGAAACAAAGAAAAGGTCTATCACAGCCAAAACATATACACTCCAAAAGTCCAGACACACGCCGCTGGCACTAGAGGCACAGCATCACCGACCACTGCCGCTCAACCTGACCGGAGAAAACCGTAGCAGGGTGTATATATATCGTCAAACAGATATCTATGGTTATGTTATATATATACGCAAGAGGTTCTGAATAGGGGGAGTTATAAGGAAGAAGATAAAAAAACTGAATTCATTTTTTCCTGTTTTTCTTTCTTTTTTTCTTTTTTTCACATTTGCGCTTTGATATTCTTGTGACAATAGATATATATTGTCACATGATATCAGAGCGCCAAAGCGAAAAACAGAAAGAAAACAAGAAAAACAAGAAAAACTTAATTCATTTTTAATCTTCTTCCTTACAACTCCCCCTGTTCAAAACCTCTTGCGTACAAGGCCGCCCACGTGGATGTAGGTTGAGCGGCAGCTGCCCCCGCCCCTGTGTGTCATATCGACCCACTTGCACACAGCCAAAAGGCAAAGAGGCAAAGAAGAGAGGAAGGGAACAGCCAAATAAAACAGAACAGGGGGCAACAAAACAGATCCCAGATGACAAGTCCCACATGCAAGCACCGCCCCTGCCCACAGGCCAAACGACGGGACAAGACCAACCAGCATATATATATCAAGAGAGAGAACGACTGTGTGAGTGAAAGAGAGAGAGAGAGAGAGAGAGAGAGAAAGAGACACCTCGGCTTACCTCTGATTAACTTTGCGACCTATGAGCTCCAGTCTACAGTAGGATCTTTTCAAAACCACCCCTTCTCTCTCCATGCAATTCCACGTTTGAATCCAGACACTTCTACGACCGTGAAAATGAATTCGTTCAAATCCGACATAGCACGACTCAGAGGGAAGATCGTCTCTGCATGTTGCTGTTCAACATAGACGGTCTAATCAACAATAGTGTTAGTCTACTCTACATAGACGATGCAATCAACAATAGTGTTAGTCTAGTCTACATAGAGGATGCAATCAACATTATTGTCATGCTAATACCATTTGTTGTTGCCACACCATTTCGTCAGGAATAGCAAGAATGGACAAAGAGAGGGGAGAGTAGGGGGTGGCGTGGGGGGGCGAAGGGAAAGAGGGGGAGGGAGGGAGGGGAGGGAAGGAGGGGAGGGGAGGGAAGGAGGGCAGGGAGAGGGGAGGAGGAGGGAGGGGAGTGGGAGGATAACGAAGAGGAAAAGAACTAGAACGAGCTTACGTCTGTACTCCTCCTGCCTCTCCTCTTCCTACTTTTCCGTGACCTGATGGTCATTCCGGGGCTAGGTCCCACTTGCACGCATTAAGCGATATTGACCGCAGATAGCAAAGATCAACGGCCAGAATCTCTTAATCCGTGCAAGTGGGACCTTGCCCCCGTGCCCCTCTCTCCTACACCTCTTCCTCTTGCTCCTCCTCCTCCTCCTCCTCCTCCTCCTCCTCCTATTCCGCTCTCTTCTCCTCAACACCCCCTTTTCCCTCACAGACTGGATATTGCACGCCCGTTAAGACCATCCCAATGGTTGTCAAGCCCACCCCTCCCCGACAAGCGCACACGCGAGGCGTACTACAGTTTTTTTTTTTTTGGATCTATATGATCAAAAGCGACCGCCAGGTTCAGCCAGAAACCTCGTCGTCAAACTGCGCCCTCAGGCCAAGAAAAAGGCGCAGAAGAGAAGGGAAGCTAGAGCGAAGGAGATGGGTGGGTGCTCACACAGAGAGACACAGAGAGAGAGAGAGAGAGATTACCGGCGAAAGGATGAAGAGTCTACCACAGTTTCAGTCAGACAGACCCTCCTCTGTCGTGAGCATGTCAATGGGCCTCGCTCCATCTCTTCTTTTGTTAGGAAATTTTTCGAAATGCCCCTGAAGTGTACGTTTATTTGCGTTTTGCCCCTCCGACGGCCGACTTACCCTGATTTGCCTCTGGGGCCTCTGAACTTTCGTGCAGGCCCCTGTCAATGAGGGGCACAACTTTTGGGAATGCCCCTACCGGACCCCCGGTCCCATTTCCCGTGGTGGCTGTTCGATTTGCCCTTTCGCAATGGATGCATCTTCCTGGGATGCCCTCCAACGGGGAGGCCCTAAGAATTCGAATTTAACTCCTTGCTTTCCAGGCCCGCGCAAAAAAACAGCACTCCACTCCACGTTCTGTCCACTGCTGCAATCCACCGTGGAGTTCATTCTTCTGCTACGGCGACCTGCCGCTGCCTTGGACGTCCTCGGAGTACGTTGCCGAAGGTGAGTGTTCCTCCC